TCAAGTTACTGACGGATCACAAACCGTTGCTGACCATATTTGGTTCACATAAAGGCATCCCGGCAACTACAGCCAGCCGTCTACAGAGATGGGCTCTATCCTTACTGGCCTACGATTTTAGCATCCATTACCAATCGACCACAGATTTTGGGCAAGCCGATGTGTTGTCTCGGATAATTGCGGATCATCCAGCTAACAACAACGAGACAGTGATTGCTAGCGTTAAAGTGGATCAGGAGATCAATCGGGTAATTCTCGACACCGCGAAATCCCTACCAGTCTCGCTAAAATCTATCCAGCAGCACACATCGCAGGATGCCGTACTACGTAAGGTGATGAAGCACGTGAAAGAAGATTGGCCATCGAGGGTATCAGATGCAGAACTCATCCCCTATCACCGGTGCCAAAACAGCTTATCAATCGTTGACTCGTGTTTGCTTTTCGCTGAACGTGTAGTTGTTCCCTCAGCTTTACGACGGCCCATTCTCACCCAACTTCACAAAGACCATCAAGGAATCACCCGCACCAAAGCATTAGCTACAAGTTACGTGTATTGGCCAGGGATGGATGATGATATCTCACACCTGTGTACGCGGTGTGAAAACTGTGCGACCACGCAAAAATCACCAAACAAATTGGCCCCCGTGCCATGGCCAGCTGCGACCACGCCATGGTCAAGAGTACATGTAGATTTCGCCGGCCCAGTAGAGTGTACATCTTATCTCATTCTGATTGACGCTCATAGTAAATGGCCGGAGGTTGTAACAATGCCGACGACCACTGCAGTCGCAACAATTAGACAGTTGCATCAAAGATTCAGCCGATTCGGAATGCCGGAGACATTAGTCAGCGATAATGGCCCACAATTTACTAGCGAAGAATTCGCAACATTTTGTCGTTCTAATGGGGTGACACACATACGCACACCACCCTTTCACCCGCAATCGGACGGTCAGGTTGAGCGATTCGTCGACACGTTCAAGCGTGCACTTATCAAATGGCGAGGCGACGGCCCCAGGGACGATTGCATACACACATTCCTAATGATGTATCGAATCACACCACACCCCGCTTGTAACGGAAGGTCACCGTCGGAAATGTTGTTTAACCGTCAGATCAGGTCAATTTGGGACATAATCGTTCCGGAGGTGAGAGAATTAGCCAAGCCAGAAACAACAGAATCTGCGCAACCCAAACAGCACGTAATAGCGAGAACATTAAAACCGGGTGACTTGGTATGGACAAGAGACTTCCGGCCGTCGCAAAACAGATGGACGCCAGGTGTAATCACCAGACGGATTGGTCGAGTCACGTACCTAGTAGAGGTCAACGGTCAGACATGGCACAGGCATATGAATCAGCTCAGACACCGCTCTGATAACAATCAGTATTTACCTCGTCACAATTCCCAGTTTGATTTTCAGTTATTACTGGAGGAGTTCTCATTGCCGATACCGACAAATGCAAATTCGGATCGAGTGGAAAACGAAAGCCAAGCGTTGATGTCAGATTTGGATGCGGTTCACAGACGCCCCGTACGCAACCGCCGACCACCCGATCGTTTCGTCTATACCCAACGGTTGTCAACTACAGGCAGACGTGTCAAAAGAAGAGGGAGGTGTCGTATACGGGCCCAACCCAACATGGAGTGCTGTCATCCAATCAGACCATACAACTGTCCAGCCAATCACCACCAAGCTGGAACCAACGAAACCGATATACCCAAGTGAGTCTGGTAAACAAGTGAACTTCCTGCTGACACTTTGTTGACTCTGCTTGTCAGCATCTCGTGATCCGCTGTATCAATACTACTGGTCATTTCCACGATCTAGTATTCTATCCACCTACTAGAACAGTTCGGGTTATAGCACTTTGTACCATTGCTTTCAGACACGGTATGCGCCTATGTGCAACTTTGCGTCCACCTGTAGGTGGTCGGAGATGGATACAAATAGATCATGTTACTAAAAGTTGCTAATGGTGCCGTGCCATCCTAGATTGTCGGTCGTTCTGGAACAGCTACGTCAACTCTGATAATGCCTTGGTACACTTCCGTTTTTCCATAAATTTTGCCGGAATCTGCATCAAGCACCTGATGTTAGGGAAGCGTGCCTGGATGCCCTACATACCGAACTTTCGCTCTCGCCCTAATGACATTGGGCGTCGGCAGGATAGGATGTCGGCTGCCATGCACGATGTGGCAGCCTCTGCTCTCGGCACTATCATCCATCACCGCCCTTGTCAATGGATGTCCGAGAGGCCGTTGAAGCTGTTGTAATCTACAGAAAACCTCCGGCTGCCTTTGAGCACAGTGCGAGCAGACGGACTGTTAAACGTGAACTAAAGCGGCGCTCACGTACTGATAAGGAGGCCTAAGCGATCAGCAGGGCTCAAGAAATGAAGTAGGCATGTGCAGTAGATAAGTATCGCAAGTTCTTGCAACTGATCCGCCCTGCTGGTCCGACGAGCGTATGCCTAAGATAGCTAATCAATGGCGGCACAGGCACCATGATTCACAATACGAAGTACCGTCTGGCTCGTTGGCCGGAGAACCTTCGATGACCGTCCAGTTGGCCCTTGCAGCTGGGTCTCTTCCTGTTCAGGCAGTGCAGCCTGAGCCATGGCCGAATAACCTAGAAGCTCCAAAAGAGACGAAAGTCCGAAAAGCGATCACAGCCCTTACTCGTCTTCGAGTGGCTGGTCGGGATTCCATCTAGCCCGCAATATTTAAAGGTAGCAGTGTGGTCGTCAGTAAATCACTGCCCTAGGTCTTCAAACAAGTCTGGATGGAAGAGAACATTCCAACTAACTGGAGTGAATCAATCAATGTGGCATCCATGCCGACAGTGTTAACCACAGATTATGAGCCTAACTCAGTTGGTGACAAAATTACCGGTCTCAATTCTTGTTCGTCGCCTCACTGCGGAACGGGAACAATGGAACACTACACTAGAACAATGGTTTTATACGGGTAAAATAACACAGCTTCACAGGTCCGGCAGAATGATCAAAGTGAAACTTTAAGTTATAAGAAAAATATCAGTAACTTTAGGTTCATACCGTAGGGCAAACCGCGTTATTCATAATTATAAATCCACAGTAAGTTGAGTTATGTTCGACAACCCACATGTGTGCCCATTCACACACGCATATATATCCATTTACACCGATTTCGTGAAGTCTGGAGATTACAGTGTTTGTCTCCGTCCTGTTGTCAATAAGTGAACAGAAATAAAAGCAGGCAAATCAGATGTTGTAATGCATCGTCAAGTCAATTTTTAAAAACAGGTAGCGCTGGCGCAGTAATGGCCAAGTCGTAAGGGTGTTCCAAGTGAGACAAATTCGAAGAGCAACATATTTCCGGCGGTATTCCAGCCGACTGTACTGCGAAGCCAGTTTCTGCAGGTGATCCCTCAATTTTGTGTTGGGGATTACTTTCAGCAGATGGCGGCAAGCGTGCTCGGGGTTTTCCAAGGTCCGAAACGCCAGATTATGGTCACCCCGTAGGCGGCGATAACTTCCACTGTACACTCCCAAGGCTTTCCGTTGCACATGGTAAGCAGGTGAAGCATTCCCTTTACATTTATGGTTGCGAAAGAAAGAGCAGGTTGGTTTCCACGAGGAACTATTTTTACAGACCATATATTCCTTTAGCGGCAAGTAATAGAGCAGCGCCACAAGCACCACTAGCTGATCGTAGCCTTGTTCTTCGACTTCAAGAGTGAGTTTGATTAAGTCGCTCGATCAATTCTATTCCGAATACTTGCGCGAAAACGTGTTCCCAGTAAATATGTAAGCATTTTACGCACCGCGTACAGTAACACCACAGGCCGCGTTGCAATCTACAGTGAGTTGTCCGATAGCATTCCGATGACAAGTGGCGTTCGTCAGCGTCTTCCAACTGCTCCATTTTTACTCAACTTCGTCGTGGGCGCCATCATGGAATGTTCCATACTGGGATCTGAAAACGCAGGTGTTGCGATGCTCCCTTCTGTAAAACTAATAGATTTAATTTATACGGACGATATTGTTCTGATGCTGGACGACCGTGAGGTGTCCTTGCCTACTGTGGATAACCTCTCCTAGGTGGTGGCATCATTTGGCATTAGCTTCGACACTTCAATGTGCGAAATGAGTTGGCTGAGCCACACTCACCTCGATGATGCTTTAACCCTTGCTAACGAAGAACCAGAGGCAGTTGATCAATACATTTACCTTGTCACCTGCAGTAGCAGCGGTTTGAGGATCCAAGGCACCTTCATCTAGTTGATTGTCACTACATACAGAGCTTTTCTGAGTCAGATAGCTGCAGCGGACCGGCCTCGATAATGTGCGTGGGTGGGTACGAGGCGATGATAATCAAAATTAGTTCCGTAGAACAAAACTAACATTAAAAATGTTGCGTTGGCTTGTGCAAGTGCTACTTATGCACGGTCAAAACTTACCGAGAAGAGTCTTGTTTTGTTTGCCAATTAACTGTGGTGCGAAATCCAAGGTGAGCAAACGTTGGACTGGCGGCGGGAAATTGAGCTACTGACGGCTGAACTGGTGGTTTCTATCCCGTCTCACCTTACAAATTGAAATCCGCGTGATCAACCTTGTGCTCGGATGGAGGCGGCACAGCACACGCCTCACAGTCGGCACTTGTGGCGTGTCTGCTGTCATCTCTTAGTCGGTCTGCGTGTTCGAACTCTTTGAGGTGCTCGATTATCTGCCCAGTAATGGTTGATATTGGCGCGGGGCAGTGGAAACCGCAAGGAAGCTGTCTCACCGATGTCGCCTTATATTTACACGACAGCCGGCTGTCTGTGACCTCATGTGTTGACAAGGCGTAGATGCCTTGACTCTGATTGCTCGCTTATAGCATTTAAATTTTGCGCTGAATCCTTCGCACCCTCTGATAATTCTTCGTGCAGCAGATCACTATGGTCTTACTGCAGTGAACTTTCATTTCCCAAATCAGGTACACTCTTACTGAAGATGATGATGGTTTGGGCTAGATTTGCACAAGGCGAGCGATTCGGACGTGTTCGATGTTAAACCAAACCACTCTCAGCTATAATGCTGTTCTGAACGCCTACCAACTTTGTGGAACATTATGGTCCAGTAATCGATCCGCTTTAGCTCATTCTCATACCGCTCGGTTCCCTGTGTATTCACTGCGGTTTTGACCACCAGAAGGTAAGCACGAACTCATCGGTCGCTGCTGAGTGTTACTCGCAGCACATGAGGAATTTGCTTTGTCGAATTACCCACAGCTTGATTACTTTGAGCTTTACACTGTGTCGCTTCATGTTACTCAAAGCTGAACTCCGTTAGCTAATGAGCACACTGTATTTCTTTTAGCTACTAAGCTAATATTTGTGAATTACTCTATGGAATCTCAGGAAATTGACCTCAAGGATTTGAATGCGTTGCTTCTTTCGGAAGAGGCTGTCGAGTTTGGGAGCACTTGGTAATGTTAGTTTTTAAACTAATCACCTTTGCAGCTGTTCCAACTCCGTGACGCAAACATCTGATTGTTCAGCTATTTCCGGAAACCTCAAAGCTGACGCAAGGGGTGCAAGAACAGAAAATGAGTTTCGTACTGTCACGCTGTACTCCGGACAAGGATGTACACATGAAGTATGTCTCCACCAAACTCTATTGTGCTTTAGGTTGTCCATAGGGTGGACGAACCTCTGAAAGCACTCACTCCAATTTCAAAACCGGTTCATACATACCCGTTTAAATTAGATCCTTTCCAAAAGCAAGCCATTCTCTGTGTCCATAATGGACGTTCCGTGCTGGTCTCGGCCTGCACGTCAGCCGGGAAAACAAGTGTTGCAGAGTAAGTGCTGTACCGTCACTTTACGTTTGCTTGAGGTACGCAGTGGCTCGAAGCTTGCGAGAAAATCGTCGTGTGATCTACACGACGCCCATCAAAGCGTTAAGCAACCAAAAGTACAGGGAGTTTTCGGATGAATTCAAGGATGTGGGACTAATGACCGGCGACGTATCCATCAATACAGACGCCTCCGTCTTGATTATGGTCACAGAAGTTCTTCGATCCATGCTGTACCGGTGCGTTCAAGTTGGCCATTAATTTATTCCACCTTCCTGCTAAAAGGAATACCTTAGACACACTCAAATTTTCTTACAATTAAGGTGGTTTTTGTGGTTTCTGCCATTCATCAAGCTAGTTGGTTCCATGGTGGTTGGAAATTAATGCGCTACCTATAGAATTGATCGTACTGCTCTCGCACACAGTAACTGAGGTGTCTTACACCTCTAGCTAACGTGTATAATGATGATGACGGCTTTCGTCGCACCGGATTCAACAAAATGCGGCAGTCTTCTTGACAAACCGAGGAACGCCTTTACAGGCGTGCTCATATTAAGATAAAAAAGCGTGATCAACCATGTACAGCTATACCACATGTTTGCCGTAACAGTGAATGTCTGTGCGGGAGTGTGCATATCTATGTAGTTGTTTATGTATGTAGCTGCGTAGTTTGTGCTTGTAAGTGTACCGCTGCATCCTTGACTATCTGATAGTGTTGACAATGTGATAATAGGTGACTGATAACTATGAGTTGGATAGGAGTATTCGGATATTCACGGAACAGTGTCTTTATTCTCGACAAAGCGAGGCGCACCTTTTTTGACCATGATCAGAGTAGTGCAATGTTCTACATCATAGCATAATAAGCAGGGCCAAGAGCAGGAGTAATACAGATGTAGTCAGTAATATAGGCCAACGTGGCCCAAAGATTGAATGAAGTCTATCCTTGCAGAGTTCGAGAAGTAAAGATAAGAATTACAGAGATCATTGGAGTGGAGTAGGTTGGTGAGGACCTGGTCCGATCCACGATCTAGTATTCTATCCACCTACTAGAACAGTTCGGGTTATAGCACTTTGTACCATTGCTTTCAGACACGGTATGCGCCTATGTGCAACTTTGCGTCCACACGTAGGTGGTCGGAGATGGATACAAATAGATCATGTTACTAAATGTTACAAATGGTGCCGTGCCATCCTAGCTTGTCGGTCGTTCTGGAACAGCTACGTCAACTCTGATAATGCCTTGGTACACTTCCGTTTTTCCATAAATTTTGCCGGAAGCTGTATCAAGCACGCGATGTAAGGGAAGCGTGCCAGGATGCCCTGCATACCGAACTTTCGCTCTCGCCCTAATGATATTGGGTGTCGGCAGGATAGGATGTCGGCTGCCATGCACGATGTGGCAGCCTCTGCTCTCGGCACTATCATCCATCACCGCCCTTGTCAATGGATGTCCGAGAGGCCGTTGAAGCTGTTGTAATCTACAGAAAACCTCCGGCTGCCTTTGAGCACAGTGCGAGCAGACGGACTGTTAAACGTGAACTAAAGCGGCGCTCACGTACTGATAAGGAGGCCTAAGCGATCAGCAGGGCTCAAGAAATGAAGTAGGCATGTGCAGTAGATAAGTATCGCAAGTTCTTGCAACTGATCCGCCCTGCTGGTCCGACGAGCCTATGCCTAAGATAGCTAATCAATGGCGGCACAGGCACCATGATTCACAATACGAAGTACCGTCTGGCTCGTTGGCCGGAGCACCTTCGATGACCGTCCAGTTGGCCCTTGCAGCTGGGTCTCTTTCTGCTCAGGCAGTGCAGGTTTAGCCATGGCCGATTAACCTAGAAGCTCCAAAAGAGACGGAAGTCCGAAAAGCGAACACAGCCCTTACTCATCTTCGAGTGGCTGGTCGGGATTCCATCTAGCCCGCAATATTTAAAGGTAGCAGTGAGGTCGTCAGGAAAGCACTGCCCTAGGTCTTCAAACAAATCTGGATGGAAGAGAACATTCCAACTAACTGGAGTGAATCAATCAATGTGGCATCAGTGCCGACAGTGTTAACCACAGATTATTAGCCTAACTCAGTTGGTGACAAAATTACTAGTCTCAATTCTTGTTCGTCGCCTCACTGCGGAACGGGAACAACAGAACAATACACTAGAACAATGGTTTTATACGGGTAAAATAACACAGCTTAACAGGTCCGGCAGAATGATCAAAGTGAAACTTCAAGTTATAAGAAAAAATGTCAGTAACTTTAGGTTCATACCGTAGGGCAAACCGCGTTATTCATAATTATAAATCCACAGTAAGTTGAGTTATGTTCGACAACCCACATGTGTGCCCATTCACACACGCATATATATCCATTTACACCGATTTCGTGAAGTCTGGAGATTACAGTGTTTGTCTCCGTCCTGTTGTCAATAAGTGAACAGAAATAAAAGCAGGCAAATCAGATGTTGTAATGCATCGTCAAGTCAATTTTTAAAAACAGGTAGCGCTGGCGCAGTAATGGCCAAGTCGTAAGGGTGTTCCAAGTGAGACAAATTCGAAGAGCAACATATTTCCGGCGGTATTCCAGCCGACTGTACTGCGAAGCCAGTTTCTGCAGGTGATCCCTCAATTTTGTGTTGGGGATTACTTTCAGCAGATGGCGGCAAGCGTGCTCGGGGTTTTCCAAGGTCCGAAACGCCAGATTATGGTCACCCCGTAGGCGGCGATAACTTCCACTGTACACTCCCAAGGCTTTCCGTTGCACATGGTAAGCAGGTGAAGCATTCCCTTTACATTTATGGTTGCGAAAGAAAGAGCAGCTTGGTTTCCACGAGGAACTATGTTTACAGACCATATATTCCTTTAGCGTCAGGTAATAGAGCAGCGCCACAAGCACCACTAGCTGATCGTAGCCTTGTTCTTCGACTTCAAGAGTGCGTTTGATTAAGTCGGTCGATCAATTCTATTCGAAATACTTGCGCGATAACGTGTTCCCAGGAAATATGTAAGTATTTTACGCACCGCGTACAGTAACACCACAGGCCGCGTCGCAATCTACAGTGAGTTGTCCGTTAGCATTCCGATGACAAGTGGCGTTCGTCAGCGTCTTCCAACTGCTCCATTTTTACTCAACTTCGTCGTGGGCGCCATCATGGAATGTTCCATACTGGGATCTGAAAACGCAGGTGTTGCGATGCTCCCTTCTGTAAAACTAATAGATTTAATTTATACGGACGATATTGTTCTGATGCTGGACGACCGTGAGGTGTCCTTGCCTACTGTGGATAACCTCTCCTAGGTGGTGGCATCATTTGGCATTAGCTTCGACACTTCAATGTGCGAAATGATTTTGCTGAGCCACAATCAACTCGATGATGCTTTAACCCTTGCTAACGAAGAACCAGAGGCAGTTGATCAATACATTTACCTTGTCACCTGCAGTAGCAGCGGTTTGAGGATCCGAGGCATCTTCATCTAGTTGATTGTCACTACATACAGAGCTTTTCTGAGTCAGGTAGCTGCAGCGGACCGGCCTCGATAATGTGCGTGGGTGGGTAGGAGGCGATGATAATCAAAATTAGTTCCGTAGAACAAAACTAACATTAAAAAAGTTGCGTTGGCTTGTGCAAGTGCTACTTATGCACGGTCAAAACTTACCGAGAAGAGCCTTGTTTTGTTTGCCAAGTAACTGTGGTGCAAAATCCAAGGTGAGCAAATGTTGGACTGGCGGCGGGAAATTGAGCTACTGACGGCTAAACTGGTGGTTTCTATCCCGTCTCACCTTCCAAATTGAAATCCGCGTGATCAACCTTGTGCTCGGATGGAGGCGGCGCAGCACACGCCTCACAGTCGGCACTTGTGGCGTGTCTGCTGTCATCTCTTAGTCGGTCTGCGTGTTCGAACTCTTTGAGGTGCTCGATTATCTGCCCAGTAATGGCTGATATTGGCGCGGGGCAGTGGAAACCGCAAGGAAGCTGTCTCACAGATGTCGCCTTATATTTACACGACAGCCGGCTGTCTGTGACCTCATGTGTTGACAAGGCGTAGATGCCTTGACTCTGATTGCTCGCTTATAGCATTTACATTTTGCTCGGAATCCTTCGCACCCTCTGATAATTCTTCGTGCAGCAGATCACTATGGTCTTACTGCAGTGAACCTTCATTTCCCAAATCAGGTACACTCTTACTGAAGATGATAATGGTTTGGGCTAGATTTGCACAAGGCGAGCGATTCGGACGTGTTTGATGTTAAACCAAACCACTCTCAGCTACAATGCTGTTCTGAACGCCTACCAACTTTGTGGAACATTATGGTCCAGCAATCGATCCGCTTTAGCTCACTCTCATACCGCTCGGTTCCCTGTGTATTCACTGCGGTTTTGACCACCAGAAGGTAAGCACGAACTCATCGGTCGCTGCTGAGTGTTACTCTCCCAGCACATGAGGAATTTGCTTTGTCGAATTACCCACAGCTTGATTAATTTGAGCTTTACACTGTACCGCTTCATGTTACTCAAAGCTGAACTCCGTTAGCTAATGAAGCACACTGTATTTCTTTTAGCTACTAAGCTAATATTTGTGAATTACTCTATGGAATCTCAGGAAATTGACCTCAAAGAGTTGAATGCGTTGCTTCTTTCGGAAGAGGCTGTCGAGTTTGGGAGCACTTGGTAATGTTAGCCTTTAAACTAATCACCTTTGCAGCTGTTCCAACTCCATGACGCAAACATCTGATTGTTCAGCTATTTCCGGAAACCTCAAAGCTGACGCAAGGGGTGCAAGAACAGAAAATGAGTTTCGTACTGTCACGCTGTACTCCGGACAAGGATGTACACATGAAGTATGTCTCCACCAAACTCAATTATTGTGCTTTAGGTTGTCCATAGGGTGGACGAACCTCTGAAAGCCCTCACTCCAATTTCAAAACCGGTTCATACATACCCGTTTAAATTAGATCCTTTCCAAAAGCAAGCCATTCTCTGTGTCCATAATGGACGTTCCGTGCTGGTCTCGGCCTGCACGTCAGCCGGGAAAACAAGTGTTGCAGAGTAAGTGCTGTACCGTCACTTTACGTTTGCTTGAGGTACGCAGTGGCTCGAAGCTTGCGAGAAAATCGCCGTGTGATCTACACGACGCCCATCAAAGCGTTAAGCAACCAAAAGTACAGGGAGTTTTCGGATGAATTCAAGGATGTGGGACTAATGACCGGCGACGTATCCATCAATACAGACGCCTCCGTCTTGATTAT